CTAAGCTATAACTAAATTATCTTCAAAGGGATCATATTTACAAGTTGAAACAGATTAATAAATAAGCGTTTATAATATATAATAAAATAAATAATTAAAACTAGTTAAGACCATTTCAAAACTAGAAAGCACCTATATCTGTAGTGACATTTTATTAATTAATATCAAACTACCTGGATCTTTAATTCCTAATTTAAGGCATCTCTGACTCCAGAATTAGTCATAAACGTCATAAATTGAGTCTTAATAAGAAGGTTCCCAGAATTAGAAAGGAATAGAGTTATTTTTCATATAACTTGGGAAACCTGAGGAGCATACTTCAGGCAAGACAGTAGTTTCTTGGTTAAACTAAATAGTTCTTTCTCTTGGCCCGCTATAAGGACTTTACAATATTATATCTGATTAAGAAATAAATTGTTCTTTTTCAGTACAGTTTTGTTAGACGATACATTTATTATCAAAGTAATTGATTAACCAACCTGACCCAGTTACCTTTACATAAATTTTAACTTGATAAAATTTACAAATTGTAAATAATTTTACCATTCTCAAATTGAGATCATAGTCTTGTATAGCTTTTAAGAAACCATAGATGAAATCTATAGTCATTTAATCTTAGTCGTAGCTGTATTAAAAGTTAAAAGCAAAGTACTTTGTTTATTGATACTTTTTTGTTGTTGTATTTTTACTAAAAATAAAGGCGTATTTAGGATTTGATATCATAGATACCATGTCAGTAGTAGTGTTAAAGCTATAGTTAAAGACAGGTTGTTAACTACAGTCACCTCTTAATGCTAAACAGCAAGTCTAATAAATATTGATAAATATTGAATTTATGTCCACTCAAAAATTAAATAATTTAAATTTTGTATATACTTTCATGCCAAATCCTCCATAATAACCGCATTACTAATAGTTTTTATTCCAAGTAGAGTGATTTTCGCAGCTTTCTTATGTAGCTACAGACACATCAAATTTGAAATTATTTACACCTTTACTCATTTAAAAGTAAGTCAATAATAG